GAAGTGTGTGCTTTTGTATGTTTATGTTTACTTAGTCTATCAGTACCTACAGTATGTGTGGAGGTGGACACACAGGACAGTAACATCTGTCCTTGCCCCTTTCTAATTCTTTTGTCTAGCAGGAGCTTCAGAAAGTAGTATGGGAAAACTAAGTCAGGCAGGTTTGGCAGACACATTTCATATTTACAGCTTCGCGTACAAAGTGAGGAGGATGGACTGGGTTTATTGCACATGTGTTACATTAAGTAGACTGAAAACCATATGAGAGACTTAAATCACCTTCAGAAAGATGGGTACAGAGGCACTCTGATAGTAGGCTGGTGGATGATTGATTAAAAAAACATAAAGAAAATGAAAAGATGCAGAAGAAATGTTTTCTTTTCACAGTCTCTGAGATATTATTGATCTAAAGGTTGCCAGAAACTATTTTGATAGGGAAATAATAATTTTTCTAATCTGAATGCTAAGAATTTGATAGCAACAGGCTCACAAATGGTAACTCTGTTGCAATCTTTGGAGTTATGCAATGTTGGAGTAAATGAAATATTTTTTGGCAACTCTTTGGTTTTTAATAGACCAAATTAATCTGCAGATTAAATAATGGCAGTAGTTAATTGCCCAACAGCCCAAATTATAAGTCTGTGGTCCAGGTTAATAACTCAGCATTCTGTAGTCTGTTAGTTGATGTGTGGTTTAATCAGATATTTTCAGAATTTACAAAATTCAAAGTGAACAAATGCTTAGGCCGTCTGTTGAAATGCCAGAAGAGCAAATGGTAAAACGGACAGAGAGCTTTGTACCATGAGGACAGACAAGAAACAAGTTCTTTAGGTAGAAACCATGGAAACCAGACCAAAACAAAGCCTAAGACATTTGTTCTCCTCTGGAGTAGAGTCAGAGGAAGTAAAGAGTCATCGGGTTTGAAACAGTGTTGTCTCGTGGGATGGCAACGGCTACAGTATCAAGTTGACTATATTTCTTCTCCTTAAGGGGTTGTGGGTGTGCCGTCGTTATGTAATAAATTAGATGTTAATGTTTTCAATAAAGCGTGATATTTTTCCCTATTCAACTTTAACATCTGGTGCCCGAGTATGCTTTTTAAAAAGTGGAGGAACTTTAGTTATGTCATGAGTGAACATGTTAAGAATGCTGTAGGTGGCCCCTGGGCCAGCTGATATCAGTGTGTGTGTCATCTGCTTTATAACAGATGAGTTGTGTAGGAGTTGCAAGTTGGAAAACTGTTACAAGTTAGAAAATGTTGTCATATTTGTTGCATAAAGTGCAAAAAAAAAAAAGGTACAATCCTTCTTATATGGGATGATGTGGTGGAAAACATTTTAAATTTTTTAGTTGGGTGCAATAAGCACACTACCATTTATACACCAAAACGTGCACATATGACTGCGTACACTTGTGCACTGATGTGGTGCTAGTTTCCAGAAATTCAGCTTGTCCTTTGAGATTTGATGTTTGTTCCTTTTAGTGGAATGTATACAGATGGTAAGGTGCATATATAAACACGTTTGTGTTTATATACCATGCTTGAGGATCCTCATTGACGTAATGCATTCCTCACTCCACACAAAAAGGACCACATAACTGCAGGACACTCACTTCTCTCAGTCTGCCCATTGAGTCTACCCCCAACCAGCTGAAGCCCAGAGGCACATTCCTCTGCCTTGCTCCCACTGAGATGTAAAGGGGTGTGTATGTGCGTGCGTGCATGCCCGCATGTGTGCATGAGAGACAGGCCTTTCTGAGTAGAGTCTGTCTGATGTATGATTTTATTTTTTATTTTTTAATTAAACGATTGATATGGATATTCGACTTAAACATTAAATGTTTCAATGTATTGGTCAATATTTGTATTCTTTTTCTTTCAAACACATAAAAACTCCACCGACTCCCCTAACATTTGTCATGTTTAGCTATTTGCTCACTCGGTTATGCTTTGCCCGACTGTTCTTGTCTACCCTGTTGTCGTGTTTGTGATATTGTTGTGTGTTGGGATATTCCAAACACATATTCCATTTGTGTTGCCAACAGGGAAGTTGCAAATATCTGAAAAAAGGAAATATTGGAATTTTAAATATCCCAACATGGGTAATAATTGGACTAGATGGATTTAAAAAAATGCTTAAGGAGTGTGTAAGTTTAACCTTTCTCTGAATCATTTTACTTTACACTCTACTAGTAACTAGAACTCCAATAAACCTTCTGGAATTCAAGTTACCTTTTACTTAACAAGGAAGGCAGGTCTGACAAGGAAGAATTGTACTAAATGAGAACAAAATATCTTGTTTCGAATTTCTTAAGTGTCTGGAGAGTTTCATTTTGTACAAGGAAGTTAAGAACTTAAAAAAAAAAAATCTGTTGTACTAAAAATAAGGTTACCCACACAGTGTTGACTGTGTGTCAGATGTGCTTTCCACAGACATGTAGTTGGAATTGTTAGCTTGTCAAAACATGCATTTCTTTGGAAATCTGACCCCAGATGGTGACTTTGTTGAAGCTGATACAGCGCTATTGCAGAGAGCTGTAATGTTAGCAAAGCAGTTGCAAGAGTTTGGTGTCTGTGTTTACTGTTGAGACTTGTTAACAGACTGATTGTTTGATGGCAAGAGATCGCATCCTCTTGAGTCACACTTTAGGTTAATCTGCTGGTGAAAGTTTAACTTCTCCGGAGCTCTGTTAGGTAAACGCGCATAGTCCAAGGAGTACTGCGATGAGGATGTGTCGCTGTGAACCTCATGTGTTTGTTCAGATGTTTTCCCACAGCCTCTGTAAACCATGAAGGATTCAGATACCAGACTTAATATAGTCTGTTTCTGCAGGCCACTGGGTGGATGTAGACCACAACAGGGTCCAGATTTCACCAGGATAGGCAGTTGTTTCTTTTTCTTTGTTTTTTCCTTATTTAGTCATAAAATCAAACACTTGTGCTCATTATATGCACATGCATTGACCATATTAATCAGACAACATTCATGATCGTGATGAAACCATCACTTCCTAGATATTAGATTTTTACAGCAAAGAAATTGAATTGATATTTTTTAGGGCAGGTTTAAATGAGGTGTAGCAGATGACCCCGCCTTTAGCTATTTGTTTTTGACTTCACTTTAAGTCTTCATTTGTCTCCAGTTGAACACTAACAATGATTGGAGTGAATATTTACTTCTGACTGTAGAAACACATTGAAAAAAGCCTGCCTCATACACGAGAGAGCGTCATGTGTTTGATGCTGTTTGAGTCACTCTACCGTTTGAATGTTTTGTTGCTTTATTTTCTTCTCTTTACCACTCAGAGCGATGAGGAATTCTTTGTCTATGCGTGTGATGGGTTTGGCTAAAGTGGCATTTTCTTCTTTTCAGTTCCTCTGACTCTTCAGTTGCTCAGGGGAGGGTGTGGAGCTTCCTTTCCAGTTTTGCCTGTAAATGTTAGTCAGCATTTTAATTGCTGTCGTGTGGATCTTGGAGTGTCTTCTTCCGTTTGGCTACAGCATGGACAATAAAGTCCAGCACAGATTGTGATCAAAGTTATCTCTTTTGAACAAACTAAGACTTGAGACTCTTGGTGCCAGATAAACTATGCAGGGCACGTTACCATGATTCCCCAGTGCATTGATGGGAGTGGAAAGTTACGTACTAATTTATAAATGCAGCTAGTTCATTTAAAAAGATTATTAATGCAGTCTACGAAGAGCAGAGCAAATTAGTTTTGCCAAAAATGAGCAGACTTGACAAGGTAGTGAGTAAGATAATATAGTGTATGCTCAGGTTTTACACATGTGTTTCTCTCTGGAAACTGTAATTCAAATAAAAGAGAGGCAACTGGAGAAGGAGAATCAATATGTTTTTGATATAAGAAACTCTACTGTTAGAATTCGCTGTTGAGCATCTCATCTTATCTCTGCATAAAACTGACAACTCAGGTGGAGTCCAGCATTTATCCAAAGGAGGGTTATAAAAATGGTAAATGGCCTGTATTTGTATAGCGCTTTTCTAGTCCCTAAGGACCCCAAAGCGCTTTACACAACCAGTCATCCACCCATTCACACACACATTCACACACTGGTGATGGCAAGCTACATTGTAGCCACAGCCACCCTGGGCCCCACTGACAGAGGCGAGGCTGCCGGACACTGGCGCCACCGGGCCCTCTGACCACCACCAGTAGGCAACGGGTGAAGTGTCTTGCCCAAGGACACAACGACTGAGACCGTCCAAGCCAAACCTCATTTATCATTAGATGTTCCTGTGCTGTGTGCCTAATCTCAGGCATTGTTCTGTCTCTAGAAACTCAGAGTGAGAACTCATTGAGGGACTCATTTAAGGACGGAGCTAATGCTTTAGCACCGAGCTCCGAGCTTTGAGCCATCCATCTTTGTCAATTATGAGCTCATTTTGATAATTTCACCGCCTGACATTCCAAATAAATTACCACTCTTACGGGAAACTATCACAGTCACATGAGGCTCAAAATGAGATGCGCCCCTAGCACATTTACTGTAAATTGCACGTTGCAAAATTCACATTTGTATGATTTTAAGTACTGTGGAAAATTTACAGAATCATCTACCAACATTTTGTATTAATTATGGCTAGCTGGAAAACTACCTCTTACTACGCCATGACACTGCACCTCTTTAGTTAATCACCAACTGTAGATTTTCAAACAAAAAGGGGGCCTTTGAACTGTAAATGTGGCCCTTAATCTTAACATTGGTCATACTGTGTATTTATTTATTTTCCCCTGTTATATGGGCCATGAAAAATTAAATGTTGGCAATAACCTCCCGCACTGTTGATGTTTTCTGTATAACTAAATGATAAAAATTGGTCTCTCTGGAGACCTGAAACACTTAAATTCACAGGGTTGGTTACTTTTGCTTTGAAAGTCTTTGAGCACAAAAACGGGAGGAAACTGAGTTAAAAAAAAAAAGGTCTGCCATTACTCATGCATGTTTCATTTAACATTGATCTGTTTTCCTTTCACAGGCCAGAAACAAGGAGACAGGAGTTCTGGCTGCTGCCAAAGTGATCGAGACCAAATCTGAGGAAGAGTTGGAAGATTACATAGTCGAGATTGACATCTTGGCTAAATGTGACCACCGCTACATTGTCAAGCTGCTTGATGCTTTCTATTATGAGAATAAACTCTGGGTAGGTAATGCTGAAATCTGAATGAGCAAATCAGACAAACCACAGACTTGCTGCCCTCTGGCTCTTTGTTTTATTTTTCTTTGGCTGAACATTGTCAAAGAGGTTAACCACAAACACTGACACACTATCTTTACACATTTTAACATGATCTGGATGGAGAAAAACAAAACAAAGCAATTAAATAAATTCGACCTTTTTCAATGATTTTAGGCTGAAATTAGATTGGTGCATAATGCACTAAAGGAACTTCAGTCGTCTTCCTCTCAAAACCACTCATAACCAGGACCCAAAAAAGCCATGACACACAAACCTCAACAGTCAGTGAAGAGGGTCAAAACAAATATTTTCACTGTGCATGTTGAATGGCTGGTGGGATGTTCCGTTTCACTCTGTGACAACTGTTTTTATTGCAACAGTTTTATCTTGAGGAAATTTCTCCTCCGTATGCAAGATTTGTTGTAAAAATAGTGATAAGAAGAGTCTATTGCCTAAATAGGAATGACAGAAGAACCCCTGGCTGACATAATGCATCAGAAATGACCCTGATGATACTACAAGAATGAGGATTAATCTCAGCTATGTTTCCCCAGCTCTTGAATCATTCCTTCTTCTCACACATACACTGGGTCAAGTGTAAACTTTTCAACTCCCTCTGTAATCTCCCACTCTATCTGGCCAAGACAAATGGTGACCTCACGTCGGGGCATGATTTTAAATATTTGAAGAATTACAAGGCAGTGTTAAAGCTAAAGATAAAGATTATTGCGGTTACTAGAAGTGCAAAATGTAGATGTTTAGTTTGGCATGTTTGTGACTCTTCTGTTAGTTTTCAGTTAATTATTAAGCATTAGAATTGTAAGCCTTAAATCAAGCATGACAGAACTCGTAAGCTATTAAAATTCAAGTTAACACTTAATGAACTGCTGATCAGTCAAAACTTTACCAGAGGTGTAACGCAACAAAGCCAAACTCATGTTTTAATAAAGAATTAATGTACTAAAAATTGCTAATTCACAATGTAATTATGCTTTATTGCATACATGCATTAAACCAACAATGAATTTAGTAGTTGACCTAAATAAAATGTGGAGGGGGTTGAACATTGCCCATGAGTCAAAGCTGGACCCTGTGCAACTGTTAGGTTAGCTTGATAAGTTAAATGTACATACCTCTCTGCCTGTTGCTTTCAGACCACACGTTTCCTGTGTTTTGTGGCTTCAGAGTAACAGGCCTTGTTTGTCATGTGAATTCTGAGCTGTCTCCAGTAACTAATGTGTTTCTTTGTCTAACACATAATTACACTCAGTGTCTTAAAAGTATTGGAAATGTTTTTAAAATGTATGTAAAGTATCTGTGTTAAAGATTGTCACTGAAGTGACAACTGGTTGTCTGTAATTAGTCTTTACAAGAGCACAATCTGGAAAAGTTTCTACACCTCATTGCTGTAAGCACAACAATTAGCCCAGTAGTTACTGGTGGTCAGGCCCTGGTTACCTCCAATTGGGTGGACTGGGCAGTGTATTCCAGTGACGACCCACCCGCTCTGCTTTCTACCACAAAGAGAGAAGACAGTGAGAGGCTGTTTGTTCCAATCTGGTCTGGAGGTTAGCAAGGCAGTCTGGCCCACAGCGTGAGAAAAACGGGGCCTTTAACGTGGAGATGGGATTGCTGATGTCAGCACCGAGAAGAACAAACAGGGAGAGGCAAAGAAAGACGCAGGAGAAGAGAGGATTTAAACAGCTAAGAGAATATTTCATATCATTTAGCATGTAAAAGTACATTATCCCTTAGTATTACTCATAGTTAGCTATGCAAATTTTCTTTTTTTCTTTTTTTTCCCCCTATTGAGCGCTCTATGTCTAAACGGTCTAATACTACAAAAATCTGTGTTACTTTAGGCATGTGCAACTTGGCGCTGTCAAATGTGTCAGTGGTCAGAAACTCATGAGGTAGGCTTAAAGTGGGTAATGGGTCAAGTCTTTTTTTTGTGTGTGGACCGGGGGCAGCCTAAATGCCACTACACTCTTCAAGTTTTGCCCATTAAGACAGGCTTATGGCTAGGTTGAGGGAATCAAGATCACCCACAGTCTGTAGGCCTGAATTATATTGAATTCATAATATTATATATAATCTTAAATAGGTCATTGGACAGTACCTAGTCCTAGATACAGTGAGAAATTGTAAGTGCATTACTCTAGTCAAGCGCTGTACTGTTTGACAAAGAAAGATAACTTTCTAAGGGTTTTTTTTTTTGTTTTTGTTTTTTTGTTTGTTTTTAACACCACCTTCCCTGCGTTTTTGAAGGTTTAGTTATCCTCGATTGTATAACATTTTTTTTGCTGGCAAATAGCCTTTTACTTTCCTTTGCCGTCTGTTAAATTGAGGTAAGAAATCACTGTGAAGGTACAAAGTGGCGAACTGGAGGAACACTGCGGTGTCAGCTAAGCCTGCTCCATTTATTTTAAAGCTTTTAGGGGTTTGTAGACTTTATCAAGTTGCGTCCAGCTGTACTCGGAAGAAAAAGACACTCATAAATTGTCCTAATGTTTTTTTTAAGACACTTGAAGATAAAAAATCACCCCTTTAGAGTAAAATGTGAGATATATCTTTAAACAGGGGATGAAGTACACTGGCTTATTGTTTAGTTATTTATTTATTTATTTTTTAAAGTCTCACTCTGACTCAGATACACAGGGACACTGAGTGTATGTGTGTGTTCAGCCCACAGTGGTTATGAATATCATGCAGCTTGACCAGTTGGAGCGCATTCTTTACCCACAGCATCACACATCATCCAAGATTCTTTCACGCAGCGAGAACAAATCTTTGCTGCAGACACACTGATGACTACACAAACCAGTTGCCTCTGTCACAGCCGAGTAATGTACAGCTGTTTAGTTTGGCCAGCGCTTTCTGCTACCACTAAAGTGCAGTTCGTTTAACTTGGAGAGTGGTTTTTAAACAGAAGTGAAAAAAATGGGCAGTGGTGAGCAGGAACAGGGATGTGGTTTGTAATAAAAGGTGTGATTAACCACCCTCTGTAGTGTTGAGAATATGTAGAATAAACAAAATATTTTCAGAGTGTATATATACTGATAATATTGATGGGAAGAAACTTCACATCAGTCGCTACACATTTTAAAATAATACATTCTGTTCTTAACTTTAGCAGATCATAATGGTGGAAGGATGCAAATCAACAGGAAATGTTAATTTTTGAAGTGTGTGCGAAACTTTTTTCTTAATAATCTTCATACTTGAAGAATAAAATGCTAAACCTGACCAATGTTAGATTTCTGTTTCTTCTTTGTTGATCAAACAGTGGAATCTTAAAACAGGTTTTTAGCTACTGTAAAACAACTTAAACACGTGGTAAAACTTCGATCTAGTTCAAAGATATAAAAGCTGGAAACATGCGTCATACACAGGCCAGACAGTCTTTCAGCTGTTTATTTAAAAAAAACTAAAAATCTGATATGAAACTAACTTTTAAACAGACTAAGCAAAATGGAAGATCGCTGATGACACATGGCAGAGCCCAAACGAATGAAGTTTGTCAGCATGACAGAAGAGCATTGTTCCACCTGGTGTTCAATGCCAAGAATGGCAGCCCTCATATTCTGATTCTTTGCAAAGTATGTGCGCCTTCACGTGACCGCGTGTACACAGAGGTATGCATAGTTTCATACCGTCAGACGTGCAATGGTGTGGTTTCACCTTTTGGTATTTGTCGTTCATTGTGCGGGTTTGTCTGGGCTGAAACTCCACGCCTTGTCCAGCGCCTGGCTGATGCTTTGGCAGTGTCGTCATAGCAAGAAAGACTGATGATTGTAAAAAATAAAATGAGATCACACAGCAGGTATGCTTCATAGTACCAAGAGTTCAATTTTGGATTCAAAACATAATTATAAATGAAGTATGTGCTGTGAAAGAAGTTCAATCTTACTATTGTTTTCTAATAGGTGTGTTTGAGGACATGGCTAATAAGACTCCGTTTAGGAAACCGCTTCAGTTTTTACCTCCTCCATCTGCCTTTTCTTTTACTTTACTGCTGAACTGATGTGTGTTTGGCAGTTTTTCCTCTACAGGTAGTGATGACATAATTTAACAGGAAGGACACACTTCTGATATAAATTTAGATTTTCTGGTTTTATGTCCCACTGAAAATCCTTCATCTTAAAGTATATTGATGTCTCTGCTATCACAGACACATTAAAAGCTTCATCAACAGCTAAGTTCAAACTCATGAAACACAGACTTTCACTGACTGTTTTTCAGCTGTCAGTTTTATTACTTATAATTCCTGGGTTAAGTTTAACACCAGTTTCTCCCCCCACAGATCATGATTGAGTTCTGCCCTGGAGGTGCTGTGGATGCCGCCATGCTAGGTAGGCCATTCTGTCTCTGTATTTTCATTTAAAAATATTTTTCTTTTACAACAACAGTTGGTTTCCACACCTCAGAGTGTTTTTATTTTTTTGTCTTTTTTTTTTTTTTAAGTCAAAATTAGTTCTTAGCTTTCATGACCGTATATGTATTTAAAAATCTCAAATTTATCAGGCAGAAAATCCTGAAAAAGAGCATCATACTACAGCTTTATTAATTTGACCTTGAAGCCTTGAAACAGTCAGACATAGTGGAGTCCTCCTGTGTGGGAAATCCCCCTGGTGTTTTCACTGGGTAATCCACATCCTCGTAACTGCCTGCACCCCATCTGCAGCTAACCAAACACAGACAGAGATGAAACGAAGTCTACAGGGCAGGATTATCTTGGATGTGTGAAGGTTTTTCTAATCTGGGATTACTTATCGGGTAATACTACCTGATCTGCTATGGTGGGTTTAGTGTTTTTTTTTTTCTCATGGAGCTCACACGGTAGCTCTGTACTCTTTATTTTGCCATGATTGTATGAATTACAAGGATGCAGTGTTCCGTCTCTGTTGCTCTAACCTCTCCTCCTCTCCTGCCCATATCAGAGTTGGATCGGGGGCTGACAGAGCCCCAGATTCAGGTAGTTTGTCGCCAGATGTTGGAGGCGCTAGACTACCTCCACGGATTGAAGATCATCCACAGAGACTTGAAGGCTGGTAACATCCTCCTAATGCTGGATGGTGACATCAAACTGGGTAAGTGTTTAGTTTTAGATGTTGTGGTGTTCAGGTTTTTCATTTCTAGCAGAGTGTAATGCATTGATCATTTTTTTTATTATAGAGGCATCAAGGTGGACAAAATGATGTTTTGTTTTTGCAACCACATTTGTATAAACAGTCAGAAAACTGCCGTACTGTTTTGAAAACTCAGATTTTATTTGATATTCAGGCAGAAAATATAGTACAGACTAATACAAAGTATTGGTTGCTTTTCTTATTTGACTCGAGCAGTTTTTTAACTCTTAAAAAACATTTGTGAATTGCAACTGTTGCATTTTACTGCTAAATTAATTATTGTGGAACTAATTCCCAGATTAATGTATCATTCACATTGCTCATTGAAGGTTATTTCTGGGGTCTTGGCTAATCTTTAGGTTCATTGTTTCTTTGACATAAATGCATGCCACACATAACATGCACAGTAAGAGGTCCTGCACTCCTCCTTTGCTGCTGTCAGAGAATTGCAAGCACTGTGTGGGAAAACTGTGATCTGAGAACATTGCATATTTTTATTCATTTATTGGCTTTTTGAAGCGTTCCTCACATTCTTCAAATTTTATGCTGGACGACAAAAGTTGGATCCACACTCTAGTTTGTTTTAGATTGAAGTGTGGTGTTCTAGTGCAGTGCTTTGTCTAAGTGCCAGGTAAGCAAGTGCTGAATTGTCTAAATGATTGCATAACATTTAGGATCCTCAGATATGAAACTTTAGATAACTGTTTGTGGCGTGATGTTTTACCTTCTTTACTCTGATTGGCTCTCTGATCATTTTTACTGAGCTAAGACCAAAAAAAAAGAAATTCATATGACACATTTTTGTCAAAAAGTGTGCTCATTAAGCTGCATGCCAAGAATCTTTCCTGCTTACATTCTTCTCCAGCTCCACCACAGTTGCCTATAATCACTGGGAGTTGCCTCTGTAAACCCATTATGTCATGACATGGACTCATTTACAGTCTTCAAACTTATCTAAATACATGTTAATTCAAACAAGACAGCAATTAAACTATCTTTGAGGTCAGCTAAAATGTCTGATCTTCATGAAGCACTCATGCAGTTCTTTTTTGGATTAAAAAAGTCTTTAATGACTTTTACGAACTTATTTACAGCAGTTGTGACCAGTGCCAAGAATTGTTGATGATGGCAAAAAAAAAATTGCTCATAATTCCTGTTGCTGTATCCAGGTAACGATAAAAACAAAAGCAAATGAATATTGGATCAGAGGTATCATGCCTTCCTGCTATCGTCATGAAGGAAACATTATTTTTAGCCTATACGATTTGCCAATCCGGTTATGCCATGTTGTTGTATCCATCGTTTGTCCGTCAATTCACAAGAATCGCTACAACTCCCTACAGTACTGGTCAGAATTTAAAGTGACTTGACATAATAAATTCTAAAGTCAATGGTCTACTTCATTTTGCTATCAAAATGTTATGCAAAGAAAACATTGTTCAGCACTGTAATGGAAGATGAGCATATTACCTATTTTGTCGAATACTGAACTAGTGATGTTAATCTTGGACCCTAATGTAGTAGACATGCGGCAGCGGGAACAAAGGAAAAACTCAGAAATTGGCTTCAAGAGGCAGCAAGCAGCATCTGACACTTACACCCTCGAATTTGATGAGTATAAACTCTGACTAATGGGCATAATTGAAGTGGTAAAAGATAAAAGCATAGAGGTTGCCACTAACATTACTTCTGTTCTTTTGGGACTCCTGCTAAAACCTGCTATTGTGCACTAGTTCCTGGAAGTGTAGAACATAATGAGAGCCCTGTTGTAGGTAATGAACAACTATTTAATCTGTTTTGTGTTGTTTTTACCAAAAACATAGTGTTAACTCTTATTCAATGTAAAATAAAAGGACTGCTTAATTTCAATGTCTCTGAGATGTAGAAATCCTTGCTGCAAAAGCTCAGACTGTTTCAAGTGATGCATTTGACAGTGAAGCCAAAGATTTTGAATTGTAGTCTACAAAACCAAAAGTCATTTAAGAACCCATAATAGAACATGCCAGTTTGTAATTGAAGATGTGACCCTGCTGCCTTGTGTGCAAAATCTAAGCGCTACTGCCAAGCACTTCTCTAACCCCGGCATGGTACACATGATATTCCTTCTGACAGGCGGGAGGAAAAAACTAAAGTGAAAACAAGACCCCTGTAATCTGGAAATCTGGCAACTTTTTTAAGGAAATAGGACTGCTATAAATTTACTGTTTCTGGATTTGTAACTCCAAAGATCACACAGTCAGGATGGCTTTACAAGCTAAAAAGTATTTGTCTACCTCATGGGCGTGGTTGTGGAAAAAAAAGAAAGCCGGAAGTTTTTGAATTGGTTTAATTCCTTCCTTCTGTGAAATGCTAGTGAACGTCTTTCCTCCATCACGTGACTTTTCTTTTCGCTTTTCTTTTTTTCATGCAGCTGACTTTGGTGTGTCTGCAAAAAATACCAAAACGTTGCAAAGAAGAGATTCTTTCATTGGAACACCATACTGGTAAGTTTACAGTTTCAGTCAGCAACACTGGGGGCGGGGGGTTGGCTTAGTACGCTACATTCAATGCCTTCAATGACTATATAAATTACACTCTACTTTTTCTAAATCCCATATTATCATATAACAATCCTGCTCCCTGATTTGCAACATTATCTGTAAATCTATTACTGTTATGCAAAACAACTATATTAAATGTTTACTTTAATATAATTCATATACATAGCACTTGTGAAGATATCATCTATGAACTTTAAAATTAGTGGGTCAACCCTTTTTGACTGCTCACAGCACTTAATACCTGAGAGAAAATGATACTGTGCATACAGTCAGTATTCATTACAATCCTTCATTCTTGTCAAATAGTGCTCCTCCAAATTAGAAATGATTCCCAGCGAACCTTGTTCCATTGAGCCTTCCTTTATACCAATATGACAGTTAAACATTTACTAGAACAGGTTATCATTCATCCCCACCATCCCAGCTCAATTAAATCATAACTGTGTACAGTCCTGATCAGATCAGGGGAAAAAACTTAATCTAAAATGCTACTTTTTTGACTACACTTAGTCAAAATTTGTATCTTATTTATATTACATTTATGTATGTGTTATTACTTAATTACATCTTGATGGTTATTTTAGATTCTTTACTTGTTATTTTATTTATTTATTTATTTATTTATTTTTTAACCCATGGGGAGCTGCATGTTTTTAGTCAACAGAGTATTTATGTGCTGAACCATGTGGTGCGTTTGTGGAGGAGTTTGCATGCCACAATCTTTAATGTTTAACCTTATTTATCTGTCTCAGGATGGCTCCAGAGGTGGTCATGTGTGAGACAATGAAGGATGCACCATATGACTACAAGGCCGACATCTGGTCTTTGGGAATCACTCTGATCGAGCTTGCGCAGATTGAACCCCCACACCACGAGCTCAATCCCATGAGGGTGCTATTAAAGATCGCAAAGTCTGAGCCTCCTAGCCTGGAGCAGCCAAAGAAATGGTGAGAATCTGAATTCAGCTGTTGCACATTTGGCCTGCAACCGTCTAGCATAATATGTACAGGCTGCGAAGAGGAATTTGTTAACCAGAAAGTGGGGAGTTTGAAACCTGCCTCCATGATTCATAAGCTACACGATAGAAAATGGCAAGTGGAGTCAACGGGGACTTTTATTTCCCTGTCTAGATTTCAACAAGTCATTTAATTTCAATCACTTCCAAGTACTTTGCACACTTGGTATACTGTAATCTGCTCTAGACAGTCATGCATCAAATTGTCCTTCCCTTTTTCCACCTGCCAACCATTTTCCAGCAGAGGCTGCACTTAAATGAGTGCCAAACTGTAATTTTTTTTCTACCTTTTCTTTAATGAGATTAAATGCGCTGTAGCAGTGAATTTATTACTGTGAAAGTGAAGTTATCAGGTAGAGGGAGATTTAGAAAGGGCCGCTGATTCATTGTTCCTGCTGAGACCTTTTTTCTTTTTTTTTCTTTTTTTTTCTTTTTTTCTTTTCTTTTTTTTTTGCACAACAAAGCTGCGTACAAAGATGGTCTAAAATGGTTGGAAATGTTACTTAAAATTATTTTTTGTTTTAACTGTTTCTTCACTTCACTTCTTTTCTCTTTTATTTACTCAAGGTCACAGGCATTTAATGACTTCCTGCGGAAATGTTTGGATAAAAACCCAGAGACTCGCCCAACTGCAGCTCAAATGTTGGAGGTAGGCTTGATGCTGTGTGTAACTGAATAGTAGTGAATATTATACAGTGCTGCACTTTGACATACAATGGAACATCATACTCTGTCTTTGTCTTGTACTGACACACACACACACACACACGCACGCGCGCGCGCACAGATCAGTTTAATCTTCTATTTTAAGACCTGAATACAGTGATCTGTGCCAGGTTGGTGTTCCATGGCGGGCACAGGCATGCAGGTGAAAATGAAACGCTTTATAAGAAATTGATAGTGTAAAAGTGAAAAATTATTAGGTAGAAAATGTGCAGTAGCCAAAATGTAATGGTAAAGGATCCTGAATAAAGACACTATCATAAAATATCCTTGACGGTTTAGATGGGAAGGACAAAAGAAATAAGAAGCTTTGGCCTCTTCGCGAATGCCCCCACCCTACCCTCAAAAAAAAATATTACCCTACAAAAATGTTTTCGACATTATTCATCTCAGAAACAGAATCCAGATTCTGACCATATTTTGTATTCGTCAGCAAGCTTATTTGATGCCTTTTATAGACTTCACTATACATATGATCCCGGGCAGACATGGTTCTAAGCAGCTGTTTTATTGATTGTTAAAGGCATCATCATATGGTAATTCTAAGTTGTGGCAATGAAATGCAAATATCTAAAGACGAGCTTCAATCAGACTCTAGATTTCAGAGCCAGTAGAATGAGCAAAGCCATGAGCAGGGTGTGGATTACAGAACAAGAGCAATGTCTATTAAAATTCAGAGCCACAGTTTCCTGTCTGCATCCCATAGCTGAGGAGCTGCCAGCTATTTACATTCCTGCTCTCAGCCAATGGTGTGCCAGGATTAACTTGAGTTTGCCACCTTTGGCCAATTAGAGCAAGGCAAAGATGAAAACCCTAGTCAGGCCTGCAGGGAATTCTCCATGTGTTCTCTAGTGGGGAGGGAAAGAGACAGGCGCGGCCCAGTTTTTGGTGCTGTGCTGCAAGTTTTAGATGTTTATCATGTCCGCTGCCTCCTAACAGCTGTAGGCACTTGTGGGCGTGGTCAGATTGAGGCTTTGTGATGGATGTTGCATCATGTCACTTTGCCGGGAGTTACCGTCAGTTTATGTTACAGGCTTTAGGGTGAAGTGAGCAGATGTGGAAAAATACAGGTGAATAAAAAAGTCATAAAAAATATCCCTGGTGCTGGATAGACTAAATAAGGGATATAAAAATAAAGCTTTGCAAAGTCTTTGTCACTAAGCTTTTCACAGGAAACAAGAATTTGTTATAAACATCTTTTTAGCCTCTTCCCTTTTTTTTGCCATAATTACTCTGCGTCTGTCCCACATATGCGGCTGTAAGGAATGTATACAAAAAAACATGACACAGTATCAGTCACTGTGGGTGTGTGGCTGGCCGGGAGACCATCTGGATGACTAGTATTATATTGAATCCAGCGTCTCCTCCCATAGTTTCTCATGTGCAGGATTTTTATGGTGTTTTTGGCAGAGCTGCCCTGGAAAGCATATAAACATTTCTGAAGTAGAACAATGTAGCACATTTTGAACTTTGAGTTAATCTTGGTTGTCTAAACTTAATAGAGTATATCTTAAACAAAAGTGTAATCTTCTAATTCTGCAAACAACTTCTTTGAGACAGAAATCTGTCCTAAAGTACTAAATTTGGGTTAATAAAAGTCAAGTCAGTTGAGTACCAAAATTGCACCTTGCCCAGTAAAATTCTTACCCCTAACTTAACTTATTAAAGTCCTAACCCTAAAAACGGTCTTAACTGCCAAACCCTCCTTCAAAAATGAAAATTTTATAACTAGTTAAATTTACATCATTCAAGATCTACAACTGTCCATAAAGATGGAGGGACAAAAGCATACACTTTATTTTTATTCCTGTGCATGTACACCTGACCTTTTTGCAGGTTTCTCTTCTAGTCACCTAATGGTCCATATTGTGCACATTTAATCTTTATACAAAGCCATGCGCACCAAATCTCCCCCCTCTCTGTCTAAAGCAATGCGAAACCTATAAAATGGTGCATATATCCACTGATACACATCTATATCTGTGTAACAAGGCACCAGTGCTAACACTTAGTCTTTTTGCCCTGTGTTTTGCCTCAGTGAGGATGTGTTTACCTGGAGTATGGGAGGTCTGGTATAATTTATTGGATTATACAGCTTAAAGCAGATTTCTCAGAGGTTTACTGCTGTAGGTGCTTGACGCTACAGTTACTCCTACTTTTTTAGTTACTAGCTACTCATACTCATTCCTCATATAAGTTCAATGGCAATGGGAGAAAAATATCTTTTATAATCTTCAGTAGGCATTCAAATGAAATAAAGAGCTTTACTAAAGCAACAATGATTAGATAATTGACATAATTGAATTTATTTCAAGTCGTTTTTATGGCTTTATAAGTTAGTTTTGATTTTCTTAACATTTGAGAAACATTTTTAAATCAGAAATTTTGGATTCTTAGTTAAAGCAGTTGATATAAAGATGTTTTGATATTTCTGTGGGTTTCATGAATTTGTAACTGGACATTTCTCATAGTTCTCTAATTTAATTAGAAAGCAACAACCATGAGTTGATTATGAAATTAGTTGCCAGTTCCCAGCCTTAAATACCTTGCTGGATGTGTAACATATTAAAAAATAAGATGCCTTATTTTCTCTCAGAATTGGAGTACTTCTAATGTAGTGCTTCTCACATTAAAACTCTTTTCTCCAGTATTTCACCTTGCTTAGGCTTAATGTAAATCTAAAACATGTCTGAAATTTTACTTCCAAAAAGCCTCTCTCTGCAATTTTCGAATTGAGATAGTGGAAACAGAAGTTGAGTTTATTTTAGCTCCTTTCACTTTTAAACATGCATTTATTGCAACACTGCCTCTACCAAACATGACAAACTGAATTATTATTGAAGCATTCACTGCCATCACCATATGTTCATGTGACTTGTTTACGCCACAGCTTTACATGGCTTTAAGATAAATCTGTTGGCTGATTACAGAGGATGTGGCCGTGTGGTTGCTGAAATCGGAGCCATTTCAGTTGAAGTTTGTCTTTAATTAACCAGCGTTGCTGCATCACTCATGTTGATGTTCTTCTTACAAAAATCACTAAATCAAAAAGGGCTGGCTGTGCAGCAATAGTTTGAGATTTAAAAACTCTATCTTGTGTTGCTCATGTTGTCAATTGATGCCATAAAATGGGCTGACATAGAAAGAATCATGACATCCAAATGTAGACACTATGCATTTAAGCATACAACTTATCCATGCATTCATATTTTGCCTCACAAATAGTCAAATAGTCACTCATTTGTGTACATCTCATTAGGCAATAGCTGACTGTTATTTGTCATTGGAGAAGCTTAAAACTCAAGCGTAATGCTGTCCTCAAGGACAAGCAAGCTCCTGAACCTACAACTGTGGAGGCTCACAACACACACTGACTTCTACACACTTCATGGTCCAGCACCCCTTGCAGACTTTTCCCCTTTGTCAGCTGTTCCAGTTAAATTACACAGGAGTGCAAAGCATCTAAATAATAGATGATCAGCTTTTTATCCTTGCAGCACTCAACTTATAATTTGCCTTTTTTATATTCCTGTTACAGCGTTCTTATTGCCTTACTTGAAGCACGGGGAAACATGCATTTTCTTTTTAGACATAGTAGAGTTGAAGACTGGTTGCTATTTTAGGTGCATTCTGTTAGAATAAACTGTTGCCTCAAGTGGAGAGTTGTATTGCGATGTTCCCATTGTTAATGCTGCGCAGGAACTGGCAGGTGTCAGATAGAGTTTCCCAGCAGTGAAAGTATGTTGTCTTGTCTTCTCCTCTGGTTCCATTTAGTGTATCGTTTTTAAGCACCAGAATTTTATTTCACTTGATCCATCATTTTGCATTTTAAAGTTTTACAGATTATTTGAAAAGAAATTGATATCATTGAAAGTTGAGATGTTGCAGAATGGTGTCATCTGCTAATTATTTAAACCTGTGGAAAATACCTGTTCTTGTGTTTTGTGCAAATATTGCTTCATGGTTGTAAGCCTTTTAGTCAGCCTCACTCTTAGGCAATAACTAAATGCGTAGTGTTTATATTATTTATCCCTAAAATAAATTTCTGATCAGCCTTAATAACTGTCTCTTCTCCTATCTACAGCACCCTTTTGTGAAATCGGTGACGACCAACCGTCCGCTGAGAGAGCTGGTGGCTGAGGTCAAGGCTGAAGTCATGGAGGAAATCGAAGACAATAGAGAGGAAGGAGAGGAAGACGAGGGCATGGACCTTACTGTGGTACCAAACCTGTTCATTATCATTGTCCTTTTTATTTTGGTGTTTCGAAAACAAGAGTGGGCAGTCCATGCTCTTCCATTCAATTGGTTTAATTTATTAATGTTGTGATTTAAATTAAAAACATAATAATGACACAGAAAATGGATGCATTTTGACGTAGAAGTGGTATTGACTTTACAAGTAAATGCATTTCTGTGACGTTCCTCATTTTCCTGTCAGACCACACAGTGAGATGGAAATTACCCTTAATTTCAGTGTCCAGACTGTGTAATTAAGTTGCAACTTGCACACATAATGACAAAAAGGCGTGCATTTACCTGCATGTGTTCCCCAGCACGTAGGTTCCTTCTTAACCACCGAGCCTCACGTTTGTAGTCCTGACTCGTTGACCTCCTCTTAAAGCATATTTTGCTAAATATAGCCTTTCTGCAGAAGGATTGATGGTTTATTCCACTGAAGTCATTCATGAATTCACAGAGAACTGGAGATTAGACAGAAACATAGGATGAAAGTGCAGTTTGCTGCCTGCCCTGAGCACAAACAAAGGAACAGAAGACGGAACACAGGCATTCACCCACACCCGCACATGGTTAAATATAGGTGCTGCTTTTGGCCTGTAGAAACAGCTATTGCCTCATAATCCCTAAAGGAGTAAATTATTTTAGGTTGCTTATTGTTCAGCCAAGATACTCTGACCCTTAATCAAAAACATGGGGATTTCTACATAGCAATAGCAGGTCTTTATAGGATCCTTGAAATACTCTTACAAATGCTGTAATCAGACAAATGTTTTCATACATTTTTGTCCTTTCTCTATGAAGACAAATGGCCTTTTACATTGTACTTCCTTATTGTACATGTTGTGGCATTCAAGGGTCTTTTTATTTTATTTTATTTTATTTTATTTGGGTGACTCTAGTATACTGATGGTGCAAATTGGTGGAAAATGGTGGAACAGTAAACACTCTCATCTAGACAATTGAACAGTGTCTTACCTGGACAGGTATTTGAAATAGCTTTCTGTAGGAGGTCTTCTTTATGCACCTTGTTGTACATTAATCATTGAAAGGAAAGTTATTTAAAAGCAGGTGTGATGAATCGGCTATCTTTATATAAAGTAACTAAATCAAATCAATGATCTGTGTGACCCCCTTTAAAATGCTGCCAAAGTACACTGGTCCACATTTCATGGTACTTGAACAAGATGGTTTGCTTAAAATCTTACTTTGTGTTATTATTTCTCTGTGTATGACGCCAGCTGGTTTTGTTTTTTTTTTATATAAAATCATTAGTTACTTTATCTCTTTTAAGAAAGCACAAATAAAGCTCCCTCTCATTTGCAGGCAGGAACATTTTCACACATACAGTAACAAATTGCTGACTTCGAAACAAGCAGTAACCAGACAGTTTCTCTTTTTCTATATATATCTCACAAAGTGAGAAAGTGATGTTTGCTTAGACATTAGTGAAGCTGTGAGTCATCAAGACAGGTTTTTGTTTTGTTTTGTTTTTACCTGAGGGAGAAGAGACTGTTCCTGATACAGAGCTGCTGATTAGAGATGTGCACATATGTAGAATTCTTGTCTCACATGTCTGAGATATGACTCTGCAGTTATACATAGTTGTGCAATATCTTCTTTTTGCACATAAACATTACGTTATTTCTGGTTAATGTTGATGAGTGTTGCATGGCAATTTTCTTTTAAAAAAAATTAATTTATATCATTTAAATGATTGGCATTTTTGTTTTTTGCTTTCTTTGAGCTGCATAATCAGTTAATTCTTTCCTAGTCTGATTTGATAGGGTGCTTCTGAGATGTAATTCCCTTACCTGTGTACATGCTAACTGCAGTAATATAATTTATCTAAGATTGTTAGTCTTGGGCTTTGGTTTTGCAGCATATTTGCAGGTGTTTCACATACTTTTGTAAAGTGCAGCTTTGTCTGCATAATAAAATACATTTAACGCACTGCTGTATGCAAAAATGAAAGAGTGCACACTGAATTATTTCGCATCAAGATTTTCATAATAGCAATGATAATGATAATGCCATTAACTCTCAGGTCCTGGCAGTCTGTCCTGACTTACGTAGGTTTTTCACCTCTGTAATTATTACCTCGCCATTGCATCTAAGCCACACTTAAAAGTAGCAATGTGCAAGTATAAAACAGGAATGACTGCATTCATACTAAAGCAAAGATTGAAGTTACTTAGCAAAAAGGTGAACGGCCTGAATGTTTTTGGTTCTTTTTCCCCATTAGTGTTTTGACCAGAAGCAAAGGTTGAAAACATTAACATTTTGGAGACCACCCATGACTTAATGACTTACGAACATGAAATGTTTTGTCACACCAGTACCTAACAGCACTGTTCCTTTAGTCCTCAGCCAAGGAGCCATGCCAGACTAGTCAGACCAGTTTGGAAGGTGACCAGCCCCCGGACACCCCAAGCCCTACCACACCTTCTTCACCTGCACCAGTACCATTCCCCAGGAAGCTGAACCAGCCAGATACATCAACAGAGGAAGAACCAGGCTCCACCATGGCAGTCCCTGTACCCCTGCCACGGCAGAATGTCCATAAGAAAGATCCAGATGAGGTGGGAGACAAAATGGGTGAAATCCTTGAGAAATCCGAGTCTGAGAAATCTGAGAGTGAGTCCTCAACCAAGACTACCTTCTCAGACTCTGGTATTGAGGATGGGAAGAGTACACCCACACTTGAGGAGGAAAAGGTATTTTTTGAAAGTTGTTCTGCTCGTGTATATTTATGAAGTGGGATTATTTATTTATTTTTAGTATTAATACTAAAATCATTGTTCTAGGTTGCCGGAGACACCCCAGAGACAGAACAGCCACCATCTCTCTTTGATATGGAATCTGAGAGATCTGAGGAACGTACGATAAACTTTATAGGTTCAACAGAACCAGAGGTCCCCAAGATCCCAGCTAATGGAGAATTGCCAACTTCAAGTGGTGTTTCGATTCCTGTACCTTCGCCTGCATCTTCCTCTGCTCCCACCCAGGTAGCAAACGGCAGCCTAATAGAGGATTCCCCTGAGAAGAAACCAATGGGAGCAAACGCTGATCCTGGTTCATCTTATCTCAATGGAGGGATTATTGAGCAGTTGTCCTATTCAGGCAGCATGGCATCTGAGAGCATGGATTTGTCTGTCCACAGGGAGAACACATCCATTAGTGCACGGGTGAGCCAACACAGATCAAAGCTTTCTGTACTTAAAGGAATTTTCATATGATTCATTTACTCAAACTTTTTAAAATGCCAGAAAGGAATGGTCAGAGAAGATAGATCCCTCATTCTCTAAAGTGTTTTTGCAGAACATATCTTTATGGCAAAACCAGTGCTCAAGTGTTAAAGATGTACAGAGGGCAGCTCTGTAGGAAAACCCCTCCTGGGGGGAAAAAAAGAAGTGTTTCTTTGCACTCATAGCGGAACTGAAACAGCATTGTGTCGTTTTAGGGTGTGGGAGTTTGACACAGAATATTGCCTGTCTCCCATTAGGTTTGCACGCACATTGCACTTAGGGAAACTCAGTTTTACATTCATGAGGACTTAAGTAACTTTTTTTATTGACTGTGAGGTTTGCTGGGATTTATTTCTCAAGTTTGGACTGAATTGGTGACAAAGCATATTGGGGCATCTCCAAAATGACTATTTATTTGATTTACCAGCTTGAAAAAGGATATTAGGTTGTCTCTGCTTAAGAATCACCAAATCCATGTCTGACAGTCCTTGTAAGTGAGACGATTGGGAGGCTAGACGTTGGGAAAGAGAAGCCAAATATGCAACACTTTCAGTTCATCTAGACCAGTGGTGGCCTTTGTGTGGGCACAGTTCAGCATTCACTATTGTGAGTGGAAATTTCTATGCAGCCCATTGTCAGTGAGTTGCTTCTGGAGGCTTATGGACTGACCATGTTTAAAATCCTATTAACTGGGTGTGGAGTCATGGCTGTTTGACATGTCAGGGTTTTTTTTTAAATAATAGATTATTTACCAGACAAGTCTGCCTATAAGCTTTTTTCTTTTTATTATTTTCTTGGGGTTTTTTTTTAGTTTTTTTAATATGATTTCTATGTTTCTGCATGAGAGAATGAGTGCAAACATCAGTGTGCACATGCACTTATAAATCCATGGGGTGTGTGTGAGAGCTACATGTGTTTTTTCTTTTGTTTGTTTACTCTTTTTGTTTTTGTGTGAATGAAGAGTGACAGGGAGTCAGCACAGTCACAGATGAACTCAAACATAAACGCCACAGCTGAAATGCAGAGTGATGAATATATATCCTTTCATCTTGGTGTAAATGTGCGATTAATAACACACCAGAACACACAAGCACATAGACTTATTGTCATCATTAGTGTGTCAGTTACGCAGAAAATGATTCAACAGTACTCAGCAGTGCGACATTAGCATCCGGTAGCTGCCAGCTATGACAGGAGCCTCACACCGATTCATATGGAGCGTGTTTGCTCAGCTGTGTTGGCTTCATGGGGAAGCTTTGTTATGGCGAACAGCAGTTTGTGCAAACCAAAATAATTCCCTCTGAGTGGGGAACACCTTCCTTTTTTTTTTTTTTTTTTTTTTATAAATCTTCAGCCAAATGTTTTGTTTTCTTCGAACAAAATGGAGAAAAGACCAGAAATAAGCCGACAAATACAAAAAGCAAACAAAAAAAACTGCTCGCCTACATCTAAGACAAGTACTTCAAACAAGAAAGTCCCTGTTACATTAAAAGATAAAACAAACTTAATTGTTTGCATAAAATAATTCTGATTTACTTTTTGTAATAAAATCATTCTTTTTTTTTTTTAAATTTCAAGGCAGATCTGTATCATTCTCTCAAGAGGAAGAGTTGCAATAACTTCTTATTCACTATGTAACAGTGAAAGCAAAACTGTCATTAGCTTTTTGTTTTAGTTTTGTATTCATTTTTATTTTAATTGAAGCACAAATAACTTTGAGAGTATTGGGATTTTCTCTTACTGTCTTCATACCTTCTGTCTTGCGTTCACGCTCTCTTTAGTTCTCTGGTCTCATCTCCTCTTCATTATATATGAACTATTTATACACCAGGAAGTGACGACATTCAGAACTTCCCAGTGTTTGCTGAGTAAACCCTGTCATATCATTTTGCAAATATTGTCCCTGGAGGATGACTTGGACAGGGGACAAAGAAGGCGTAACTTCTCAGTTACACATGCTCCAGTTAACCGTGACAGTTTTGCATTGCAATTACAATACGCTATGGCTCATGCACTGACTGAAAGGAAATGTGTGTTTACATCATCGCACATTGTTTGGTTGAAATGCCTGATTTGTGCTTTTTGAGCTAGAGAAAACTTGAACAAACCTTCGTTGGCTAAGAAAAAGGTCATCTGCCCTGTGGGCGAATGTCTAGAAATGTCCTTTCAGACAATGTGAAGATCCACAAGTCTGGATAAAGAAGGCCTTTAACCAGTATTCTTGTTGAAGAAGGTTGAGAAGTCAAGTCACATGGTGCCATATTTGGTATACGATGTTGTTACTACCTCCATGGCGCTCTCCATTATGCTAACGGATCAACATCTTGCTTCTTGTTACAGTAGAACCTGCCTTACAGGATATTAGTGCCATGTAAACATACACACTGTCATACATACTTACTCAGCCTCTCCTTTAACAGATAAAGACTACACTACAGATAAACCTTGACACATTTGAAATATTTGAAGTTAATTCGTAGGAAAATAGTTTCTATGAGTGATCTGAAGATTTTTTTTTGGGGGGGGGTGATATTGGGGTGTTTGTAGTTCCTTACAGTCACAGTACACAAGAGTCACAAAACAACTCTGACTAAATTATATTGCGGTTGATATAAGCACAGAGATTTTACAAGTAAAGTTGCAAATTGTTTTTCACACACAAAAAGAAAACCTGTCTATTGCGAGAGTCTAATTATGCTATGGAAGTGAAAGAATCTGGTAGTACTGACCTTTTAACTACTTAAAAAAACAGCATTTAAACTCAAAGTACATGAAAAAAGGTTCAATTCTGAGTTTAAAACCAGGCTTTTCTGTGTTTTTGTCTACCTATCAGAACTTTTCAGATAAGACTCTGAGGCGGACCAGAAAGTTTGTTGTTGACGGTGTGGAGGTGAGTGTGACCACCTCCAAGATCATCAGTGACGATGAGAAGAAGGATGAGGAGATGAGATTCCTCAGGTATGTGGGTGATCTTATTATTCCCTGGTAGCTAAGCCATTTTTCATTCACTCTAAATGAGAGGCATGGACTCTTGTGTTCTCAGGACACAGTGAACACTGGATTGGGACTTATTTATTTTTGTTTTATCTTTTAGTTCTTACTATTTAAGTCATCCATAGTAAGAACTAAAACATCTAAGTCATCCTGCTCTTTGGGATTTTAGTCCCTTGAGATTAGAACTGTTATTGGAAAAAGTCTAATTTGGTCTCTGGTCTGAGAGGAAAATTTAATTTCTGAAATTACTTATTCGTTAAGTCAAAGTTAAGGTAATCTGTATTTGGCATTTGAAACAACTGATTTCTGTACTTCCTTTGAAGCATAGTGAGTTCCTGTGTTTTACTCCTGCCATCTAGTGGTGGGACTATGATATTGCACCTATGACTGCAGTAATATTTCGATATCATTCTTAGTTTAAATTTGGTGAAAATAATCTTCAGAAACTCTGTGCTGAACAAAAATTGCATTTTCTTTTGCTTCCATTGGGTTTGCACCATTCAGAGTGTTGTTAGTGGTCTGCCAGCATAAACATTGTTTTTATTATAAAGTAAGCTCAATTTATTCTACTCTCTTATTCATTACTTTTCTGCTGCCGTGGCCTGATCTAACCTGTGATAAAGTTCTAACCTGTAATTTAAGCACTTGTGTTATTTTGCTACCAGTAATAGTAGATCTTACCTGACATAGTTTCATTTATTTTAGGTGTCCTTAGCTACATACATACATACATACATACATACATACATACATACATACATACATACATACATTTGTTTTCTTTTTTTTGTAGGCGGCAGGAGCTGCGCGAGCTCCGTCTGTTGCAGAAGGAAGAGCAGCGAGCCCTGGCTGCTCTGAATGCCAAACTCGAAACACAAAGGGAACAAATACAAAGACGTTTTGACCAGGAGATGAATGTGAGTCACATTACTCTAACAGCTTTAACAACAGCATTTTCGTCTTTAGCTAAAACTTAGTCAGACAGTTGTTGCATTAATTCTATGGTCGTATGCATTTTTGTCACACTTAAATGTTTCAGGTCATCAAACAAATTTAAATAGTAGACGAATATACCATATGAAAGCACAAAATGAAGTTTCTAAATGAAGGTGTTTTATTATTAAGGGGGAAAAATGCAAACCTACATGGCCCTGTGTGGGGGGGGTGTGTGTGTGTGTGTGTGTGATTGTTTACTAAACCTAATAACTGTTGAGCCACCCTTAGCATCAACAACAAAAATCAAGCATTTCCAATAACTAGCAGTGAGTCTTTTACAGTACTATGGAGTAATCACCTTTGCAGAATTGTTGTAATTTTGCCACATTGCGGTTTTTGAGCATGAACCTCCTTTTAAAGGTCGTGCCACAGCATCTCAATCGGATTCAGACCAGAAATTTGACAAGACCACAACAAAGTCTTCAAGAAAAACAAGCTTTTTGTTTTTCCTAAGCCATTCAGAAGTGGACTTGCTGGTGTGTTTTGGATCATTGTTCTGCTGCAGAACCCAAGTGTGCTTCAGTTTGAGGTCACAAACAGATGGCCACACATGCTCCTTCAGGATGTTTTGGTAGACGGCAGAATTCATTCTGGTTCTGTTTACCACAGCAAGTCTTCCAAGTCCTGAGGCAGCAAAACGGCCCCAGACCGTCACACTATAATCATATATTACTGTTGGTAGGGTGTAAAATGCTTTGTTGGTTTTATGCCAGATGTAATGGAACTCAAACCTTTTGTCTCGTATTTGTCAGAGTATTTTCCAAAAAATGTGGTTAATCACAGTTAATCATGATTTAAGAAGGTCAAAGGGCAATTACTTTTTTACTTTTTCACACAGGACCAGGCAGGTTTGGATAACTTTTCTCCCTTAATAAATGAATGAAATCCTTTAAAACCTGCATTTTGTATTTACTTGGCTTATCTTTATCTAATATTAAAATTTGTTTGACGATCTGAAACATGTAAGTGTGACAAATATGCAAAACACTCTGAAATCGGGATGGTTTCAGTTGCAATAAACTTTTGAACTAGGAACATTTTCCTTGTTTGCCATCAGCTAAAATTATAATGTGCATATCTCCTGTTGGTGTGTCCTAGACCAAGAAGAAGCACTTTGATACAGAGCTGGAGAATCTGGAGAGGAACCAGAAGCAGGCAATTGAGAAAATGGAGGAAGAACACAAAGTTAAACTGAAAGAAGAAACCAGGCGTATCAAAGCAGAACAGGAACGAGACTATCACAAATTCCTGGACCAAATAAAACTAAAGAAAAAGGAGGTAAAGTGTGTGTGTGCACCTAAGCAAAATAACCAGTAATTATTTCACATATTCTTGCCTTTATTTAAGCCCACTTGATCTCAATAGGACATAAAGAAAGGGTGCAAGTCAAAGGAAGCTTTCAGTGCTCAACCTCAGCGACTGCACAGCTGTGTTGATTTTTGTATACCTTTCTGAAGTTCTGATGTCTGAGGTTTAATTACTGAAGTGTATTTTCTTTTTAGGTAAAACAATCTGTTGATAAGCTGCCCAGAAGTCAGCGTAAAGAAACCTTAAAACAGAAGATGAATTCCTTCCAAGAAATGAAGATGTCAGAGGTATGATGCTAGGTCATTTGTGCCATTTTGATGCATAATTACAGCTCAGTTAAAACAAATTTATTTTTTTTAAACTCTTAAATTTAGTATTATTTTTCAGTCTATATTGCTTTGGTGGTGCAAGTTGCTCAGTTTTGGAAATATTTACAATTGTGACGTGATCATAAAAAATATGTTGAATGCACTGGAGAAAGCTCCTTTTTCAGAAACAATGAACCTGGTTAAATGGCTGCTATATCTAAGAACTATTCTTTTGCTATCAAACTACTAACCAACTTTATCACTGCAAATAGAAGTATACATCTACCAGGAAATAGACTAGATGTAAACACCGATGGCATGCTTCTCAGTTGAGTTATGTTGGTTGCAGGCTTCTGGTAATTGGCATGTGTAGATTGTTTGAAGGGAAACGGCACCTGCATGAAACTGCTGATTTTTGTCTGATTATTCACCCACTCCTCAATTTCTCCTCCTTCTCCTTTGTTTAGGAAGAGAAATTCCTTGTAGCTCAGAAAAACTATCTGCACATCACACTGAGGAATATCATTTCCAACAACAAGAGAGAGATTGCAGACCTGGAGAGGGATTGTCTTAACAAGAAGCAAAGCCTAATCAGAGGTACAACATCCGTAAAGCAAACAGAATCACAGTAACAATTTCAGCTTTGTTTTCTTCATTTTGGGTTTATCCCATCCTTGCTGTAGTTACCATTTGATTTCATTCAGTGTCAACTTTTTAAATTTGATTAGAGCGTGAAAATACGATGTGGGACATGGAGCAGAAGAACCTTTATGAGAAACATCAGTTGGTGAAGCAGCAGATGAAAGATCAGTACTTCCTCCAGAGGCATCAGCTTCTCAAAAAGCATGAGAAGGTACACTAGTGGATATCATCTTGCCACAATAAGTTTGCACACACAACTTGGTAACACCTAAATCATGATTACATGACAAAATCAAGTTAACCAATTCTGTGTTGTTGTTTTTTCCTGCAGGAAAAGGAACAGATGCAGAGTTACAATCAGCGAATGGTTGAGATCCTGAAAACTAACCAGCAGCTGGAGAAGAGCCGACTGCCTAAGATTCAGCGCAGTGAGTCAAAGACTCGAATGACCATGTTCAAAAAGAGCCTTCGCATTACCTCATCGGGCAGTGCTGCAGAGGACAAGGAGAAGATCAAACTGGTGAGACAGAGGGGCTTTCTTACTCCATATTCACACATTCAGTTAACTATTTATTAACTTTCTCCATGCGTGGCTCTCCAGTTTTCTCAGCAGGAGGAGAAGCGACAGAAGGCGGAGAGGCTGCATCAGCAGCAGAAGCACGAGAACCAGATGAGGGAGATGACTGGTCAGTGTGAAAGCAATATCAGAGAGCTGCTGCAGCTACAGGTGAGTGAGGGCAAATTTAATAAAACATTTTTATTACAAATCTATTTGTAGTTTTTTTTTTTTTTTTTCTTTTCAAAGAATATAGAGGACACTTAATGAACATAATAACTAGCCCACATTGCTTAACAAGCACATTTTCTGCTGCAGAATGAAAAATGTCACCTGTTGATTGAGAATGAGACTCAGAGGCTCAAAATGTTGGATGAGCAACACAATTATATGATGAAGGACTGGAGGGAACAACTGAAGCCCAAAAGGAAGGTATGTTGTCTCCACTCACAATTTCTTACAAACAAAAATGTATTGGAGTCTATTTTGTGGCTCAGATACTCCCAAAATACTATCATCATAGTAATTTCTATATTTTTAAGAGCAGTCTTACTGGGAATTTTCATCAAAAACACACTGAAATGTGCTCGGTGTGAATTGAGATAAAGATTAAAAAATGCCCTTTTTCTTACTAAAGTTGTAATAAATGCAAACAATTGTAAAACATTTATGGTTACGGTATTTTTGCTCGGGTGTTTTGAGAGTGTTTTCATTCTGAGCTCCACTTTTCTGGTTCCAGGCTCATTCTTATAACATATTTTGCTGTAGCCATGCAATTCAATAAGCAAAGTAGTAGTTAAGTACTTAAATGTACAAGACACAATGTAATAACTGCTTTCCCAATCATATAACAGGAACGTTGATATATCAAATAATTCATGATTTTAGTGCTCTGTTTTCTACTTTGTTCACATTGCAAACGTTTACATCTTTGTGAGGTAAACTTGTGCATTTTACATTCCCAGGCCCTTGAAGATGAACTGAATGCCAGGAAAAAGGAGCAGGAGGCTTTTTTCAGGATGAGTGAGAGTTCCGACTGTCCAAACCCCAGTTCTCCCAACAGAGTCTCCAAATTTATGCCGTATCAAGATGAGACTACCACATGAGAACAGATGCTGTGACATTACACAATATTATCTTCTGCCCACTAATGTATACACACCCACTGGTACCATTGCCTGCTGGCCTTCTTTTTTTTTTCTCTTGCTTTACCAGTAATGGCAGAATACTGATCCTTCCATTAGGTTTCTTTATTGTTTTAGTAAATATTTATGTTTTTATTCATGTTCTGATGTGCGTCATTAGACACCCTGACATAATATCTACTCCCATACAGTGTTTGCTTTCTTTTTCTTTTCAAGCATGCTTCAGATTTCTCAATAATGTGATACAAAGGCCATTTATTGGGGTGAGCCAATAAATACCAAATTATCTGTTTTAATGATTAAATATTCAGAAAAACCACCTTATGATTAGGCAACAGGTTTTTTTCCAAAGCACCCAGCCAGAGATCATTTTTTCCACGATAACAAGGAATGCTATAAATATTAACGACCTAGTAAATGAGTACTTGCTTACCTTAATTTTTCAAGGTTATCTTTCAAATAAGACCAAAAACTCCTCTAGAAATGTTTTGATTTACTGAATCTTTTTTTTTTTTTTTTTAATTTCCTGTTCTCTGTGCCTTACTTTGCCTTTGCTGCCAAAATTTGCCTTTATTTATTTTTACTCAAAGAACATTATACAGCTTACCCCTATATAGTTTTGATTTACTTTGTCTTTTAATCATGGAATGAAGGATGTGATGATTTTGTGTCTTTTTTGTTTTAAATGAGGGATAAGGCTGAATGCAATGTATCTTTGAATTTAATGGTTTCTTTTAAGATTTCGTTGTTAACTAATAAGGGAACTCAAGTTTTGTTGTTGTTTTTTTTTTTTTCAGTATTGCTCAGTTATTTTTTCTGTTGTATCATTACTGTAGAAATCAGTCACACTGGATGGGAACTGACAAAGCCAGAGCTGTTTGCTTTTTTCTTTCTTTCAGGATGTTATAGAGGGGAGTTAAATTTTTTGAATTGTTATGCAACATGCAGTAAATGCTAACCAATGTGCAATATTATGTTTTTGCTAAGCTTACAGAGGTTTATTTTTCTTAAACTTTGCCTTCCTTTGCACTGAGAGCAAGAATAACATGAAGAGCTTAAACCCAAAAATATATATGTTAACTTTTTTTGGGAGGTGAATAAAAGCCTTTGGTTAAGAGTGATTTAACCATTTTATAATTTTTAGGTATTCAATAGCAATAATTTAGGTTTTTACACAATAGTTCTTCACATCATTTTAAGGGGGTGCAACAATTCAGTCTGCTGTAAGATGCCTCTAGCTGTTTAATTTTCTACATAAAGTTTGCAGCTCAAAATCATGATTTCTTGAGTGAGGAGCGGTTTTATTGGAGCAGTTTGCATCAGCTAACTGCAGTTGGCCTGCAGATTTACACTGAATCAGGTCCACAATCAGGTACAGCTTAATCTCTCTTATATCAGAAGTATTTACATTTACAATTCTTTTCTTACTGTTTACTGGCTCTGTATCTCTGACTCTCTGCCTTAGTTTACATAACATTATTTGTGTGGAGGGACTGTATGAATAAATATTTTTTCAGAAGGAACCACTGTTGTAAATAAATGCAGATTTTATAATTGCTGGATTGTTGTGGAGATTCTTTGTAACATGATACCACCTGTTCTACTGGAAAACACATCAAGACTGTCAGATCTTTTTTTTTTTTTTAAACAGTTGGTTAAAAAAAGATTTATGGGATTAAAAATCCAGTGTCAACTCCTCTATATATAAACACACACACAAGGAAAGGTTATTAAAAAGAAAGTATTGTGGAGAACGCAGGAGTGTGACTACATACAGGATGGTTTTTATGTAACTTATGTTAGATAGTATAGCAAATTCAGTCATTCATTGTAGCAGTGGTTAAGCTTGGAGGAACTGAAGCGAGAATATTCCAGTTTGTTACACTCACCACGCACTTCATTGGATACAAATGTTCAATTGCTTGTAAATCCAAATGTTTAATTAGCCAATCACATGGTAGCATATAATCTCCCATGCAACCATCTCTAGCATTTACAGAGTGGACAGAGGACAACATCCAGTGAGCGACAGTACTCTGGGAGAAAATGCCCAGCTGATGCCAGAGGTGAGAGAATGGCCAGACTCCTTTGAGCTGATAGAGCAACAGTAGCTCAGACATGTAACCTTGAAACAAATAGGTTACTGCAGCAGAAGAGCACACCAGCTGAGAACAGAAAACTGAGGCTACAATTCACACAGATTTAGAAGATTGAAGGAACATTGTCTGCTGTAAGGAGTCTCAATTATGCTACAAAACTTGGTCTAAACACCACAAAATCATGGATCCATACTGTCTGACACATAGTGGTGAGGGTTTCTTGAACAGGAAAATCCCTCGACAATCACCAGATCTCAAATCAGTAGATGGCATTTTGCGATGGGAGATTCACATCACAGATGTGAAGCTGACAAATCTGAAGTATGACTGATGTTACCATGTCGACACGGATCAAAATCTCTGAGAATTTGCAATGAAGAATTTAAGCAGTTTTGAAGGAGCTACAACCCAAATAAATCAAACTAAACACTGAGTGGAAGCAGTGGGGCATCTGAAGTGAAAAATCACAAAACTTTTATTGACTTAAAGCAAAAGCAGATACACTGTAATGAAAACACATAGCAAAAAAGTAAACAGTTTACAATACTGAAATAACCCCTATACACTTGCCTTGCATTGTACTTCTGTCCTTTCCCTTTAGGATTTCACTTTAGGATTTATTTATTTTTTAAAGTTGGTAACATACTTTGGTATGATTGGAAGATGGTATAACATTATAGCAACTACAAGCAGAACAGAATTAGTGTTATAAAGCTTGCAGCCTTGTCTAATTATCTTCATAACTATGAACAGATTAATTTTTTTAGTGTCAGACAATTGGTACTTTGTAAACACTTGAGATATGGACCAATTGTTAGATTACCAGCCAGTTGTTTCCCCAAACCTTTCCTTAATTACTTAAATCCTATCATCAACCAAATCAACAACCAAATACCTTCTTGAAACTTTCTTCTTCTAACCCTTTGATCAACACAAAGGGGGATAAAATAGATGGAACATCAAAAAAAAAGTGACAATAGTTAAGATAGGACTCATTTCTGTACAATAAAAAATAATTTGTTTCACCGACCATACTTGAGACCAGTCAAGCGTCAATGTAAAACATTATTCTTATACAACGGTCATACTTTGTTATCGGAGCACCACACTTCGGTTATGAACAGATTGTACATTTACAATACTGTAAATCATTGCACAAATGACTGTAGGTATTCAATTGCTATGTCAGATAGGCAGATGTGCTCTGCCGTTCACATTTTGCAAATCCCACTGATGGCTCTGAGAACAGTTATGTTAAAATACTTTGATATATAGACCCTTCTTGCCTTCTCAGTTTGGATAATATAGCCTCTTTGCTACAGTGAGGATAACACAAATAAAGAAAGCAGTCTGAAAATGGCTTATAAAACTAAATGCACCGTGGCATTCTCCCCTTTCTTTCAGTGTGTGCAAACCTTAAACTTCAGCTGAAATGACTGAAAGTGCACATCTGTTACAATTCGTTGCAACATTAATTATGCAGTCAGAATAAAAGCAATACAACACGGAAACGCTAATATGCACGTCTCCAAGGTAACAAACAGCACTGGGCAAAGAGATAACCAACTATTAGCGCTTGAAAGTTCAGATGTAGTCAATGAACTCCCCCAGTGAGTTAATTTAAACGTCTACTCTGTACTCTTGCAATGTATAATGCGATTCTTGATTTTATAGTAAAATGACTCCAAGACTCCAACAAGGACTATGTCTACCATTGCATACCATTTAATAAGCGCTGAAGCACTTCGCATATAATATTGAGGCACCATATATTAAAAGGCAAGGGTGTAGATACATTTACTGCTCTTCTAGTTTCTAGCCCGAGAAATGGCGAGACTGACACGGTGACTAACATACGGCAGCAAAGGCAAGATACTTTTTTTTTTTTTAACCTAAGATTTCATATATAGTTGACATAAAATAAAAAAAAGTAAACATTACAAAACCCAACAAGGTCATGTATTATTGCTGGTTCAGTTGGTAGGTAAAATATTTGTATAAAAATGAAACAAAACAAAATGTGTCAATAAAAAAAATGTACCTATAAATTAAAAAAACAAAAAACAGGCTAAGTAGCAAGAAATTAGTGAGATCTTGTTCATTTAGATCATTAAGTTACTTATATGTTCATATGGCGATGTGTGCGAGCACATTTACTTCCTAAGGTTTCTTGCTCAGGTAATTCGAGGGGATCCAGCTCTCGACTTCTTCTCCTACGTTTTTACAGAACCACCAGCCACTGCTGTTTTTTTCCAGAACCTCAAACACTGTGCCCACCTTGAAGCTGGATGTTTGCTCATCCCCTTCAAAGTCTGCCACAGCAAGATACAGCTCATCCTTGCTGGGCTCCTTGAGTAAAGGTGGAAGCCTATCCTTGGGTGGCCCAGGCTTCAGCTGGGGCTTTGGAGGAATTGGGACTTTATTCACCTTGGGCTCTTCCTTCTCTTTGCTTGCTGGTGCCTGAAACCCTTTGGGTTTTGGGGGAGGTGGTCTGCTGAGCTGTGGTGGTCCAGCCTTGGGAACGTCCTGGGTTTCTTTAAGAGTTGGTGGAGATTTAAGTTCAGTTGGACTTGATGGATCAGTTTTCTTTGGAGGGGGTGGTCTTTTTGGAACCGTGGCCGGCGGTCTCTGAGGGGGTTCCTTGTGGGGAGGCACTGCTGGTTTTGCAAGAGGCGATGAGCTCTCCTGGCCATGACCATTGATGTGTTTTGGTGGAAGTTTTGGCTCATTAGAATACTTACCGTTATTCAGAGGTGGGATGCTCACTGGAGGAGAGCTAGGGGGTGAACTTGTGTGGGAACTATTTACTGCTGGCGAGGCATCATTCTGATGGTTCACCTCTGTTGAGCTAGCATCTGCCGGCTTAGATGGTCTCAACTTGCTTCTCAAGTTGGTGATGTCTACTTTGTTCTCCCCTGGGGGATCTGGCTTGGCAGCTGTAACGGGTTTAGGTCGGACCACTGGCTTTGCCTTCATAAACACAGCTGGGCCCGGTGCCTCGGTTTTCTCCTCCTGTGATTCTGGCTTGGGTTTTGGTGGCTGTTTAGGTACAGGTTTCAGATTAAACTTCTTCACCTCTTTGGCAGAGATCTTGTGGCCACATTCAAGACCCATCTCATTTCGAAGGTGAAGAGCTTTGCTCTTTTCATCTTTCTTGGTCTCTGGGGGTTTGTCTGATTTGAAGGGGGGAGGTTTAGGTGTAACCAGCGGCATGATGACCCCAGGAGCTGGGGGTTTTGGAGGCAAAGGTTTGGGGTTATCTGACCTTGATTTCTCTGCTACCTCCAATTCAAAGCTCTTATTAATAGACTCTCTTCGAGGCGGCAGAGCAGGTTTCTCCTCAGCGGGAGGTGCAGTTGGGGCTGGGGGCAAAGGCCCAGAGAAAGAGGGCCCCTTGCTGGCATTGGACTTCCAATCTCTGAGCTTAGGGCGCGTAGAGGACTCAG